GGGCCAGTTTCCCATCACCTTGCTCACCATCTCCCTGCCACCCCACAGGCCCTCCTGGGTCCCCACAGCCAGTACCGTGGGTGTGCCGCTCTGTGGCCACCAGTTTCTGGGCCTCTCTGCCTGGTCTGGTGATGCTGGGCCTGGAGAGGAACTCAAGGAGTTTCTCGCCCCCCCATCCAATGCTCCTTCCAGAGCCTGGAAAATGGGGCCCACCACCCCCATTGTCCTCTCAGACTGGGGCCCAGGAGATCCCAGCCCTTCCTGACAATTAAAACCCTTATCCCCTGCATGGGGCACTCTATCCACGAGCTCATCTTTCCAGCTTCTTGTGTAATGAGGTCTGAAATTCCATGGGATGAGCCCTGTGTTCCACGTTCTTCTCTGCTCCATACTCCATGTACACCGTTCTGCCTTCTCCCACCTGCTTTCTCTCACACACCACTGTGGTCTGCAACCCAGGCGTCAGCCTTGCTGACTCCCTCACCCCTTTTCTAGAGCAGCCTCACCCTGAAAGTGGTGGGAAGATGTAAGTGTGGACCCCCATGCCTCCAGAACCCCGCCCTCAGACGCTGCCCATCCCCATCCCAGGCTGCCCTGGGACCAGCAGGAAGCTCCACTTTGCTCTAAGTCACCACCCAGAGCTCCTGGGCACTGTCCTTTCTTCTCGACATCTTTCTCCTCCCCAGGCACCAGCAGAGCGATGGGCGTGTGCCAGTCCACCCTTCCTCTCACCTGCCCTGTTCTTCCAGCTTCTCCAGTCCATCAGGGTTGGCTCTATGACCAGGTCAGCCACCTCGCCGGGTCCGCCAGCCACTGTGATGATAGTCTCTTTGCTGGAGCTATGTAGCAGTTACGGGAAATTGCAACATAGGGAGAAAGTTTGCATGATGTTATAAAGTCCATTATTTGCCAGGGAGGGGAACAATTTTTTTAAACGTATTTTATTCATTATGTTATTACAGTTATCCCATTTTCCCCCTTTTATTCTCCTCTGCCCTGCAAACCCCCTCCCACCTGCATCCCCCCCACCTTTAGTTCATGTCCATGAGTCATACATATAAGTTCTTCAGCTTCTACATTTCCTATACTATTCTTAACCTCTCCCTGTCTATTTTCTACCTACCATTTATGCTACTTATTCTCTGTACCTTTTCCCCCTCTCTCCCCACCGACTCCCCCACTGATAACCCTCCATGTGATCTCCATTTCTATGATTCTGTTCCTATTCTGGTTGTTTGCTTAGGTTTTTTGTTTTGTTTTGTTTTGTTTTGTTTTGTTTTCTTAGGTTCAGTTGTTAATGACTGTGAATTTGTTGTCATTTCAGTGTTAATATTTTTATCTTCTTTTTCTAAGATAAGTCCCTTTAACATTTCTTATTAATAAGGGTTTGGTGATGATGAACTCCTTTAACTTGACCTTGTCTGAGAAGCACTTTATCTGCCCTTCCATTCTAAATGAAAGCTTTGCTGGACAGAGTAATCTAGGATATAGGTCCTTGCCTTTCAGGACTTGGAATACTTCTTTCCAACCCATTCTTGTCTGCAAGTTTTTCTGTGAGAAATGAGCCGATAGTCTTATGGGAACTCCTTTGTAGGTAATGCTCTCATTTCCTCTTGCTGCTTTTAAGATTGTCTCCTTATCTTTAATCTTGGCTAATGTAATTATGTGCCTTGGTGTGTTCTTCCTTGGGTCCAAATTCTTTGGGACTCTCTGAGCTTCCTGGGCTTTCTGAAAATCTATTTTCTTCGCCAGATTGGGGAAGTTCTTCATTATTTGTTCAAATAAGTTTTCAATTTGTTACTCTTCCTCTTCTTCTTCTAGCACCCCTATGATTCAGATGTTGGAACGTTTAAATATGTCCTGGAGGCTCCTAAGCCTCTCCTCATTTCTTGAGTTCTTGTTTCTTCATTCTGTTCTGACTGAATGTTTCTGTCTTTCTTCTGCTCCAAACCACTGATTTGAGTCCTGGTTTTCTTCTTGTCACTGTTGGTTCCCTGTAGATTTTTCTTTATATCACATGATATGACCTCCATTGCTGCCTGAGTCTTTTTTATGCTGTTGAAGTACCTATTGAGTTCCTGGAGCATCCTGATCACCAGTGTTTTGAACTCTGCATCTGATAGGTTGGCTCTCTCTTCGTGGCTTAGTTGTATTTTTTTCTGGAGCTTTGAACTGTTCTTTCATTTGTGCCATGTTTTGGGGTTTGGGGGGGTTTGGTTTCTCTTTTTTTGTGCCAACTCGCCTGTTACACAGCAAGGGGCGGAGCCTCAGATGTTCACCAGGGCGTGGCAACCCACCTAACTGTGTGGTGACACTATAGGTGGGGGAGGGGTCGAGAAGGAACAGTGCTGCTTGCTCTGCTCTCTGCTGGCTTTCGGTCACTTCCCCATTACCCACAAGCAAATTGGGCCCTTCTGGTGCAAATTCCCCAGTGGGTGGGTTTGTGTACATCCTAAGAAGCTGTGGGTCTCTCCAACAAACTCTCCTGTGAGGCTGGGAGTTTCTCCCGCTGCTGCCTCAACACCCAGAGGGGTTTTCAGTCAGAGATTTTAGGGCTTTATTTTCCCCGTGCTGGAACCCCAGGCTGTTCAGTCTGTCTCGCTCCCCAGTTGTTCCTCCTGGTTTATCTGCACAAGAATGTGGGACCACCCAGTCTGCAATCAGCCACCTCACCGGGTCCGCCAGCCACTGCTCTGCTGCAAGTCCTCTCCTCCCAGCTGCCCGACTCGCCCCACCCATCTAGATAAGTGTTTCTGTCAGTTCTGGTTATTTTTTGTTTTTAAATTTATTGTTGTCTTAGTTTGGGTTGTGCAAGAAGGCACAGTGTGCCTCCCTCTTGGCCAGAAATTGAAACAATTTTTAATGGTTTTCTCCTTTACAAAAACACTGGGAAATCTGCAATCCTGGGCCACAAATCTGCACACACTTTTGCAACAGGTCCCACAATGGCAGGACCTCTCGTTTCGCCTTCATTGTTTACTATGACCCCAAATTATCTTCAAAGTAAAGAAGCACGCCATGTTTTCTCCGGTATGACTTTAATTGTCAAATATTCACCAGTGGACATACCTTTCTTCTGAGCGCGGTTTGCCTTGATTGACTGTGGCCTTTGCCATGTGCCCCGCACCAGCAGCAGGCAGCCTCTTCAGCTGTCCCCTGAGCCCCTTCGCATAAATGACACACAGAGTTTGGCTCCTCAGTTAGCAGAGTTGACCATAGCTCCTACCTGAAGACCCAGGGAAATCAGAATTTTGCACCAGAGGACCCACCTCATCCTCACTGAGACATCTCAAATGCTGGAAAGGAACAGAAAGCTAATGTTCATTATTCTTACACCCCCTGGGCCACACACTCTCTCTCCAGCTGTCAACTGCCCTTCTTCCACATTCCCAGCAAACCTCTGAGCATTGCCTACAGCTGCCACCTCCTCTCCTTCACCTCCCTTCTCTCAACCACATGTGGCCCCCTGAGTCCCCACCATCTCTACTCTGTGGGAACTGCCATCATGAAGGTCCTCAGTTTGGTAAGGTCCAGTGACCATTCTTCTGTCCTTACTATCATTGATCTATTCACAGCATGGACACAGCCAAGCCTTCTTCCTTGAAACAGTTCTTTGACTGGGTGTCCATGTCACAGCCTTTTTCTCTTTCCTCCTGCCTCAGAGAGTTCCCCTTCTTGGTCCCTCCGTTGGCTTCTCTTGGCTCCCTCATTGGCTGCTGAACCCCCAGGTGGTGGAGGGGCTCAGGCTTACTCTTAGGCCATGACTGCAGAGACCAAATGTCTGCTGAGAGTTCCCGGATTTGGACTCTAGATATGTGCGCTGCATACCTATTGGATAGCTTCCTTTGGACAGTCAATAGGCACCTCAAATTTAACATGTCTAAATCGAATACCTGATCTCCCCAATATTCATGCACAGGCCTGGTGTCAAGGGCATGTGCGTGACCAGTGTGGCTGTCCAGGTCCCACACTCAGAAGGGGTTTAGTGGGGGTTAATGCTACAGTTACCATCTTGAAATTCTTAGTAATGTTATGTTTATATTTATGTTTTGTAAGTGAAGTCCAATGAGACCATGAAGTACCTGCCAGGTTCCTGGAGCCTCAGTTCATGCTCAGTCCCCTTTCCTGGAACGCGCTCTCAGCCGCCCGCTTTGCAGCCCCTACCCAGTGACTGCTGCCTTCTCTGTCCTGGGCTGAGGCGTGGGCTGGGCACTGGTGGGAGGACGGTGGTCTCTGTGAGGGTCTGTACTCCCTATGTCAATATCCCTGTGCCGGAGGAAGCCTAGGCTTAAATAGCAAATTTAAAAACACCTTACAAGTCCAGAGAAGACTGAGAAAGAAAGAAAAATGCTTTCTTTCTGCCTTTTGAACACAGAGTTCACATTTTCATTTTGTACTTGGCCCCACAAATGATGGAGTCGACTCTGAGTGGACGTGAGGCCGGACGGGTGGCGGGAAGCAGGCTGTGAGGGGCTCACTGCTGTGGAGATCAGTCTTTACTTTGTAGGCCAAGGTTGGCAAATTCCTTTCGTAAAGGGCCAGGTGGTAATTATGTTAGGCATTTCGGGCCATGTAGTGCCTGTTGCAAATACTCATCTCCACCTTTATAGCATAAAAGCAGCCACAGACACTCCATAAACCAATGGGTGGGACCATGTTCCAATAAAACTTTATTTACAAAAGCAGGCAGTGGGCCAGGTTTGGCCCACAGGCTTTAGTTTGCCATCCCCTGTTGTAGACAAGGGGAAGACGTTGAAGGCATCTGAGCAGCAGAAAAAGACAATCAGAGAAGTTTCTGGAAGGTTATCTTCATCTCACTGTCTATCTTGGTGGAAGAGGGTCAGCCTAGGGGCAGGGATTTTAGGAAAAAATATATTGCAAAGCTCTGATGTTCTAGGAACACTCGGTAGTGGCCACAGAGGTTGAAAGAGTGAAACGAGGCAACACAAAGCCAACACCAAGGTTACTAACACAACTTAATGCCTCTCTCTTCCATCCAGGAGAGAGGAAGAGCAAGCGGAGGGTCCGAACCACCTTTACCACAGAGCAGCTATGTGAGCTAGAGAAAATCTTCCACTTCACCCACTACCCAGACATCCACGTCCGCAACCAGCTGGCAGCCAGGATCAACCTCCCAGAAGCCCAAGTACAGGTACAACCAGCCCCACTCTCAGCCCCCACCTGTGGCCATGGGTGAGACACTGTGGGTCCTGGAGCCTCCGGGGCTGCCCTATCCAAGTCTTTCCATTGGTTTATGTCCCACGAATACAGTAATATTTGCTAAGTGTTACATCCCAGTTCTAGGATGATTTCTCTCCTTGGAGGGTGAAAATGGAGTGAGCTGGCGTTGGTGATGGCAGTTGACAGACACTCCTGTGCCCTTCCTGTCCACTTGTCTACAGTTCCAGAACGTCGTCCACCATGCGGCCCCATTCCCAAAACACCTCTTGACAATCTAGACCAGGGTCAACAAAATTTTTCTGGGAAGGGCCAGATGGTGATTATGTTAGGTTTTGGGGGCCATATGGTCACTGTCACAAGAATTCAACCATATATATTGTTTGTTGCATAAAAGCAGCCACAGACAATATATAAACAAGTGAGTGTGGCGGTGTTCCAATAAAACTTTATTGACGAACACTAAAATGTGAATTTTATATAATTTGCCTGTGTCATGAAACATTATTCTTCTTTGGGTTTTTGTGCAGCCATTCCAAATGTGAAAAGCATCCTTAGCTCACAGGCCATAGAGAAACAGGCAGAAGGCCCGAGTTAGCTGATAGCCCCCCCCCCCATCTGGACCACATGGCTATGGCTTTGAAGGCAGCACGGAGAAGCGGAAAGGACCCTGGATCCGTGGTCTGAGACCTGGTTCCAGCCCCGGCTGCCTAATCCGTGCTCTCTAATTTCTTCACCCAGAGTGTCTATGGCTTTATTCATGGCTGGGGACAGAAGAACCCCTTGTCACTTGGCAGGAGTATGTCCTGCCTCTTGGCACCTCTGCAGTTTTGCAAGTACAATTCTAGCAAACCCAAATCCAATTGTTCCACGGTGGGCATGCCTCTAACACAGTTTTCTGAGTCACCCATTTTTTAAAAAAACAAATATGAAGCATTTACTCAAATTCAAAATCTGAGCAAGGGCCCAGGTCAATATTCCACTCTTTATTTTATGCCAACCAGCTTTTCTTCAGCCAAGGACCACACCCACCTCAGACTTCCCCCCTTTTCCTTTCCATTTGGAGTCTGTCACCAGCTAAGTTGGTAGCACCAGCTTAGTGGCTCAGAATTCGGCGGCATCTCAGCAGAATAACCAAGTAAAATAGTCACATGTCAGGGACAATCAGAATGCTCATGAATACAGGAAACTGCTGATGCCCCTGTAGATGCCAAGGGGCTCCCAGGGGTTGCAAACAGGTGGCCTGCCAGCAGGAAACCGTCCACCAGTGGGTTTTGTTCAATCTGCACAGTATTTTAAACCTCAGAGTTGTCACATAAAAATCAAGATGTCTGTCTTAGAAAATGGATGAGCCTGCAAGGCAGGGCCCACACTGCATGCACAGGGGGGCTGTTGGCTGAAGCTGAGAGGCCGCCCCCCTATGTTCTGTGTACCACAGACCCCACCTCTCCCAACTATCTGGCACCCAGCTGCTTCCTCCCTGAATGAGCCCTGGCCCTGCAGGCATTGAACGTTGTGACCCTCCAACCCACTCTGAAGGCTGACTCCCAGAGCCAAAGAAATCCTGTACACCATGAGCTCTCTAAACTGCAAAGCCCCTCGGGAGGCGTTATTATTATGCATATTGGGGGAGGCACTAGATGGAGAAAAACCCTTCTGCTTATCTCTACTCTCTCTCTCCCTCATCAGATCTGGTTCCAGAATCAACGAGCCAAGTGGCGGAAGCAGGAGAGGACCGGTGGTGCCCCTAGGGCTTCACAGCAGCTGAGTGAGGCGCACTTGGCCCCGGCCACAAATCCGGACGTGACCGTGAGTGGCTGAGGCACTGAGGGGGTCTGGGGGACCCGCTCTCTGGGAACATCCCTTCCAGACCCACATGGGAGGAAATGTTTTTTTTTAGAAAGAGCATGGGCAAGGAGGTTCTGGAAGTCTGTGGCCCCTGGGACAAACCATTGCCTCTCTCTCTCCATGTCCTTATCCACTGAGTGACAATCACCTTGCTCGTCCCTCCTCCTTGTATTACTTGTGTAAGACATCACAGTTGACAGAATAGGGTCACGGAGTAAAGGGTGGTACACGGAGCTTGAGCCCTGGAGTCAGACTGCCCGGGCTCAAACCCCAGCTCTGCCCTTAGCAGCAGGGTGACCTGGAGGAGTCACTGTGCCCCTCAGAGCACAGTAATGGTTTTGATGAGAATGAACTGCCTGAGAAGTGAAGATTGCTCGGCACGGAGGACGTGCTCCCTAAGTATCACCTGTCCAGTGAGTCAGCACACAGGCGGCGTGTGTGCCGGCTGCTGAACTCTGGGACGCAGCACTACATACAACGCACAGTCCTGAGCTAAAGGTCTGTGCAGACCCACAGTGATGCTACGAGGCAGGATTTTTAAAATTTATTCCCCTCCCCCTCTTTTTTTTCCTAATGCAGAAACTGGGCTCTGAGATGCAAAGTGACTTTTCCACGTCAGGCAACTGCTATGAATGGCGGGGTGAGGACCAGCCTCTCTGGCCCGCAGTGCATGCGATTCTCCCCAGGTCAGACCCCCAACTGCACCCTGCACTGCCCAAGTCATGGGGGGAAGGTTGGGAAGCTACAGGCCAACCCAGGCTAAAGTGGAGGACTCACCGCTCTCCTGACCTCTCCCTGTGACAGGGTCCCCTGCTGCCACCCCCTGCACTGCCCAGGCTGGCTCCTCCCACAGGGTGTTATCCACCAGCTCAAGGTCAGCCAGCCTCTGCCTGGTTCCCTGCCTGGACATCGCCTCTCCCGGGGCCCCTCCTCCAGCAGACCTGCATCCCTGTCCTCTGCTTCCTTCCACCTCCACACCCGAAATGGGGCCGCATCTGCACCACTTCAACATAGGGACCGGACCGACACCCTGTCTGCAATGGAGCCACCCTCCTCTCCAAGTGAAGACGCATGGCGGGAAGCTGCCCAGCCCTCTGGGGGAGTTAGTCTCCTGATCCAAAGGTGGCCCACACCCCAGGAAGCCCCCTAGAGCTCGCCCCCTGGAAGGCTGCAGCAGACTCTGCATCAGGGTGGCCCTCCCAGCTCAACGACGGAGGTTTTTCAGACCTCGGGGTGAGCCGTGGAATGAGCAGGTCATTCTCTGCCACCTGTGCTTCCTCTCACTTGCTGTGTGGCCTCCAGCCGGTCACTCGTGCCATCTGGACCTCACGTGTAACATGAAGCAGTTGGACCAGATGACCTCTGAGGGCCTTCCAGCCCCTCTGTTGGTGAGGCGAAGCGTGATGTGAACAGAGACATGGAGGAGGCCAAGAAGAGGTTGTTTGCTCTTTCATTCATGACGCATTATTCAGCGCCTACTAAGTGCTCCGAGAATGGAAGCAGATACTGACGTGGACAGGCGAGGCTCTGCCCCTGTGAGCTCAGTCCGGGTTGGTCGAAGGGAGAGTGCTGACCTTTCCCTGCAGGCACAAGCATTCGCCCATGACCTTCTAGGTGGTCCATGTTTAACATTCTGTATGCCTTTGATATGACTGTCTTAAAGAGAGAAATACAGGAAAATTTTTTATTTTAAGCAGCACTTAGTGTCTTTGGTTATTCTGTTGAATTGAAGGGGGCAGGGGGTGTCATTTCTGGATCAAGTAAAGAGTAAGACAGAAAGCTCTTTGCAGAGTTTATTTCCTAGGACTTGTGCAAGGAGCCTAGCTGGAAGACCAGCTTCACTCTGTTCTGAAAAGCCTAGGGTTTCCTTTGACTGTCATTTCCTTGCAGTGAGAGCATGGGCAAACCACTTGCCCTGCCTGGGCCTCAGTTTTAGCATCTGTAAAATGGCCTGCTCCCCTGGCCTGCCTCACGGAGCAATCAGGAGGCTCTGAAAGGACATGGCTGTGTTTTGCAAAGTGGGAGGACATGACACACTGTGGAGTGATGTTGGCATAGGTCATCCCTGCTCACAGGGAGGGCGTCCCCTGAACTTCCCTGCTGCATGAGTATTGCTTAGATGTGCCCTGCTGGGCAGGACAGGGCCTGCTCCCCTGAGCTGGGCAGGCTGGACTGACCTCCATGTGCAGTCCTAGGAATAAATTCTAGGACTCTGCCCCAAGTCCCAGCACCTCTGCAATCTGCCCGATCCCTGACCCACCCCGGAGTCGGGCTGGGAATCAGGAAGCCTGGGTCTCGGTGCCACGCTCTCTCTAATGCACTGTATGACATTGCCATTTGATCTCTCCAGGCCTCAGCTTTCTCATCTGTAAATTGGAGGCAGCAAGGCTAGCTCTGCCTTTAGGCATGCAATGTGCCAAAAAGAGTACCACCCACTGTGTGAATGTGCTTTGCAAACTTAGACAAGCCAGATGACCCAGAGTCCTGACTGTTCCCATTGACATCTATCCTCCAGCAAACCCTGGGTGGAAGGAGAAGGTTAGGGGTTCAGGGGGCAAAAGAATTGATGAACAAAAACGGGTATCCCCTAACTTACTGACTCAGGTAGCAGGTACCCACTCCATAGCCCTGAACTCAAATGTGCAAAATGTCACTTTTGTCATTTTGCAGTAACTGGATTTACTTTCTATGTTGTTGGCTGAAATTTTATTCTAGTAACTTCTATGTTACCGATTCCTCAAACACCCAGGTTTAAACCCAGTCGTATCGGGGATATCCCCCTTTGTTCTCCTCCTTCCTACAGGGGTCTTTGCTAGGCTGAGGGTGGGGTTGGAAAAGTATTTACACAAATGCCACCGCGGTCTCTCGGGGGAGTGGGCATCCTCGCCCCAGCCTCTGTCTTTCTCAGCCCCTGCCGACATCCACTGAGTGTGTCTCAGCCGGTCTGGCCTTGGGCGGGACCCCCTCCACCCCACATCAGTCAGCCCCCTATAGTGGGCTCACATTACATTCTCTGCTGCAGCCTCCCACCCTGGTTGTAAGGACCCCCACCCCTGCAGCCTCTCTCTGCCCTCCAGGTTGTCCCTCATGAACAGGAGGAAAAGCCGACAGCTCCCCCACACACAGCCCCTGGGGCCGTGGAGGCCCTAGGCCAGGCAATGGGCTCTGGTCTGAGACCTGTCACAGCTGTTTCTGACATCCTGGTTAGAGGCAGGTCATGGATGCACCTGCAGATCTGCAGACCTCCCAGTGGAACGGAGAAGTCCCGTGACCTTCAGTCATCAGGCCGGAGACCGGGAGAGCATAAACTCCGGTCCGAGTCCAAAGTCAGGAGACCGATGTCCCAATTCAAAGATAGTCAGGCAGAAAGAATAAATTATCCTTTCCTCTGCCTTTCAGTTCTACTCAGGCCTCATGCTCACCCACATCAGGAGGGCATCTGTTTTACTCCGTCTACCAGTTAAAGTGGGAATCTCATCCAGAAACACCCTAGCGCATACATCCATATGGATATTTATCCCATTCTCCGGGTATCAAGTGACCCAGTCAAGTTGACATGTAAAATTAACCATCACTGTCCCCATCACCTGTCCCAGTCACATGTCCTCCTTCCCCCAGAATCCTCTAGAGACAGAGTTCAGCCGACCATAAGAGATTCCTGTGACCAGAATGTTACATCCGCTTCAGTACAGATGTAAACATTGGTTTTGGGGGGTCAGCTCCTCTCTAGGGAGGGATCTGTCTTGTCCCCCAAGAAACTATTTTATTCCCTTTATCACTTTAGAACTCATGCCAGCTGTGTGGCCTTGGGCAAGTGACATGTTCCCTCTGTGCACATGTTCTCTGCATAGCATCAGTTTCTTATGTCTTAGTGTTTCTGTGACAATTAAACGAGTGGGCACATTTTGGCATGTGGCAAACACTCAACAAGTGTTAAGAAAAGTCATCTTCTCAACCCTTTCTGTTACCCAGTAAAAGTGGGGTTCAGCTGCCCACCACCAAACATAGGCATATTCCAAAGACAAAAGTTGCTGGGGAAGAAAAGAGGTCTTTATTAAAATGTTGCACAATCTGTGGGAATGGGGGACTCCCCAATTCCAGGCCAATGTCCTCCACAAAACACGAACCCATTTGTTTCCAAAAAGAATGAAATCCAAAATCATGCCCAGAAATCCTGCTCCATCCTTATCTGTCCTTCAGAGCATGAAGCTGCGAGGAGGACAGTTCTCCAGCTTCAGGCTGCCCGGAGTTTGCAGGCGGGGCTGGTGCTACCAGCGCCACGTGGGCCTTTCGAATATCCATGCCATAGATCCCCGGGAAGAGAAGGGGCAGGTCTCTGCCTTCCTTCCATTTAAATCTCCCGGGCCAAACTGGCAGGTGCTCGGGAAGTATCCGACATCCCCAGCCGATCCCATCCTCTTCCCAGGCTTCACAGTCTGGTCTGCACCTCCCCCTGCCACCGTGTTAAGCTTTACAGTGCGTGTGCGGCTGGTTTCCACTTCGATTAGGAACCAGACGAGGGTAGGAGGGCTTTCCCCTTTGTCTATCACTCTCTAGCCTTGAGCAGACTCTGCACAATGACTTCCTCCTGCTGTGCCTCTGCCCAGGGGCAGGGAATCTGTCATCACATGCCACGCTAGTTTGTTTACCCAGGGAACACGGCCTCTCCCATGCTGCCTTGGGGCCCCTCCCCTCTGCTCCCAGCACCACGCCAGTATCATTCCTTCTACCCCTTTCTACTTCTGAACTTGAGCAGCTATTCTAATCCCAGATTCCATCCCAGTAATTTTTTTTAAATTTTTTATTGATTTTAGAGAGAGAGGGTGGAGGGAAGAGAGAAACGTCAATTTGTTGTTCCACTTATTTATGTGTTCATTGGCTGACTCTGACCAGAGATGGAACCTACAACCTTGTTGTATTGGGATGGTGCTCTAACCAACCAAGTACCCAGCCAGGGCCCATCCTAGGAATCCTTAAACCAGTCTTCAGGAGAGGAGCAACTCTCCAAAGAGCATGCAATGTTGTGTATCTGTTAGTGCGTTTGTTTTTCCCAGGGAAATGGTTCATTGCTTTCATCAGCTCTTCAAAGAGCACTGTGGCTAAAAATAATCCTAATAAAGCACCCCTGTCAAACACACCTGTGTCAGCTCCTGACAGGTTCATATTCTAGTTGTGTGGACCAGAGACTCGAGATCATTTTTTTCAAGATAAAATCATGCAAACGTAAAATGAACAAGTGCCGAAGTTTTACCTCACTAATTAATGAGGGAAGCAGTAAGGCATCATGGCAATTCCAAGGAGGAGTTCCAAGGAGAATTCGAAGAACAGATATACATCTAGGCAATCAAGAATGCTGACGTGAATTACAAATAAAGATCAAAAGGGTCCGTAGCCATAGGGAAACAATCAGTGGCATCTCCACCAGACACAACTCATTTGCATGTCTATGGACAAGATTCATTTGCATTGTTACCCATTTTCCAAAATTTAAAGAGTTGAAAAATAGCTCAAAGACAACAAAAGGTGCAGAAATCCTGGAAGAGTGGGCTACACAACACCCAGCAATCTTTGTATACCCATTTCAAAGGCTTTCACAGTTTTTCCTGACCTGAAGTTACTAATCTCTCTGAATGTCACTTTCGTCATCCACTAAATGGGCATAACAAGACCTGCCTTGGAAGCCAGCTGTGAGCTAACATCAGACAATGCAGGTAAAGTGTTTCATATTTGTCCAACACTAGGAATTTGGGAAACTATTACCCACTGCCTTTCAAACTCCTCTAGAACTCAGGTTTTAAAGTCTATACCTAGGTCGTATTTAGAAATACAGTAACATTTCTTTGACATCCCTTCCCTTTTGATAGTTCAATTTTTACAAAGGCTACAAGTCATAGAAAAGTGGCAAAGAGCAGAAATAAGAGATTCATAGGAAAAACATACAAACGGATACTAAACATGAAAATATTCAAAACCTCATTCGTAATTTTTAAATGTCAATAAAACAGGATGAAGTA